TTTTCATCAAATGCGCAGAACACATAATCGCGAGCTCCTTGGAGAAAGCAAAAGGCTAAGCTCCTCCTGTCTGTGACCTCCCAGCTCCGGACTTCAGAGGCAGCTGCTCGCAAGGCGGGGCGGGAGACAGGCGCACTGGACTCCTCTCACGGGAAGGCTTCCCCGAGGCCAGGAGATGGGAGTCGGGACAACTTGGGAGTTTTCCACGAGAGGCTGGGACCGAGTCACAGCAATTAAAGGACTTGTTGTCTGCTTCCAAGGCAGTTATTAATAGACACTTTTTTCAAAACCACAGACAGGGAAGAAAAGAAACCAACATTCACTGAAAACCGACTGTGTGCTGGGAACCTCTGTGCACTCACTCCCTTACTAGGAGGTGCTCTGTATTTATTCAGAAGAGGACACTCTAATGATGGGTCGAGGGGGAGACCCCGAATGTGTTCTTGGAAGCAATTCTGCATTCCCAGAATAGCAAACAAGTCAGGCACCTGGACGCGGATATCCTCCGAGCCATGCTTCGGCGGTACCTGCAACCGGGCAGGCGCGGCTGAATGTCTGTAGAGTGGATGCCCGCTAAGGTCTCCTCCAGTACAGATCTCTGTGATCTTATTTATAGGAGAACCAAGGGCAGCAGAGTCATCCAGCGCTCCTGGGAGCAGCGCCTGCACCAGGCAAGCCTCGCCCACAGGGCAGCTCCTCGCGGGGATGGCAGTGATTAACTCCATCCGGACACAGTGCCGACAGCACAGTGAAAGCCAGTGCTGCGATGGCTCAATTAACAAACGCTCTGGAAACGGAGTTTCCTTATAATGGAGTTGGCCGTTCTGCCCCAAAAGTCACCATAAATCACCGGGCTGTTGGTGTGTGCCGTGTGGCTCACAGCAGTGCTGAGAAGCTAGGATGGGAGATGCCCTCATGTGGCTCCCATCTGTCCACTGTCCGTGAGCAGGGCCAAGCCGGGTCCATTCTAAGGTCTTGGTCCTTGGTTCCCCCTTGGCGGTGACCCTGCCCCCGCTTCTGTCTTTCTGTGGACGTGACACACCTGCGCAGGTCTGGAGAGGATGCAGCCAGGCCTGACCTCCGCGCGCCCTCACCCCAACCCATTCCCACGGCGTTGCCCATTCTGGCTTGGGGCTGGGACCCCAAAGATGAACCAAGGTGGTTCCCATCCTCAAAGAGCTCAGCCTCTTGGCAGCCCCCTGCCCCCAGACATGGATCCGCATAATCTCCCAGGGTTCGGGCAACGCTGAGGCAACACACCATAGTGTTCCCAACCATTCCTGTCTTTAGGTGGCAGCTGGAACTGACAGTGAGGAGGAGGTGCCTGGTGTTTCAAGAACAATGAGGAACAGGTCTGAGTACAGATCTTTTCTACGATGAGCAGCACCAACTGCTCTCAGGGAAAGAGAGGCCTTCCACGCATCCTTCTCCAAGTGCGGCATGACATATGCTTGGACAGGGCGGAGGGGCTGGCTGTGCCTGGTGCGGAGTGACAGCTGCTGGCACTGCCGGCTGCGGCTCTTCCCCTCTCAGGGAGTCTGTGCTCTCCAGGCTGCACACAGCAGCCGAGGCTGGTGTGGCCTTTGCGTAAAACCACCTCCCAGGCCCTTCCACTCCGGCCATGTGCTACTGTAGCATGCGTACTCCTTCACTGGGGGGGGGGGGGCAGAGCAGGCTTCCCCTGCAACAGCCTCCTGCCCTGGGAGGGACAGATGGCCCCAAAGTGCCAAGCGAAGCTCAAGGTCATAGACGTGATGTGGCCAGGCCAACAGAGAGAGGCAGCACCTGGCCGTAGACCTGCCCGAGGTCACAGAGGAACAGCCCACAGGCTGAGACACAACCACAAAGGCTAAAAGCACCTGACCACCTATCATCTCAGCTCGGATCGACATTTGGGATCAAAGGCCTAAAGCAAGGTGCGGAACAACGGGGAAGCCAGGAAGTGCCCGTGCTCCCCAGCCCAGGTGCATCCAGGCAGGAGGACGCAGCCCATGACGGTGTTCTGCAGTCACCTGCGGGCCCACAGCACGCATGAGACCTGGGATGTGCAGCTGGGCGGGAGCAGGGCCCCAGGCTTAGGTGACCAGTGCACATGGAGCCAGAATAGATGCTCAGGAACAAGGACAGAAGCAGAGCCAAGCTGACTGGACAGGGACCGCAGGGGGACGAGGCGTGGCCAGGGCAGTGGACAAGGGCCCATAACAGGAAGGCGCCAGCATCAGCACAGAGGCCAGCAGTCGGCTCAGCACGCTGCACCCTATGCCAGTCCACGGAAGGAAGGCCGAGAATTCAGGCAGGGTGCAGGCTGGGGATGGGGAGATCAGGACCTCGGCAACAGGCAGGGAGGGGCAAGCTTCAGGGGACCAGGCAGTGGCATAGCCGCTACTATTCTGGGGTCCTTTCCCCACGTCCCACCTGATTCGTGGAGCAGGAAGCAGAGGATCTGCCCAGGTGCTGGTTTTACAAGCAGCTGCTCACCAGGTTGAGAGAAGGCCCAGCAGGGCTGAGGTGGCATTGGGATCACCACCCAGTGTGCTGCATTCCAGCTCTCAGGCAGGAAACTTGTTCCCTGTCCCCATTCCGAGTGCCAGTGATAGTAATTAAACCACCAAGGTCTGTCCCTACCTGCCCCTCCCCAGGGCCTTCTGCTTCCTTTGGCAGAACGAGGCTCTGTCATGGTTCTCTGGTGCCACAGTGGCACACTGGGAACTCTGGCTGGGCTCTAGGAACACCAGGCAGTGAGGCACCATGGAAGGGGTGGCCCAAGATCCTCTGGTTGGAATTCCAGTGGCGCCTCGCTGCCCAGGTTTTTTATTCCCACTTTTGAAATGACTCTATAACTTGATGGGTCTCCCACACTGAGCCTGAATTAGCTGTGTTCTGCAGTCAGGGGTCTGGCCCACCCTCCTACACCCACCTGGTTTCCTCATCTGGCTCAGACTCCACCACACTGCCACAGCCTCCAGGAACCGCACAGCCATACCACACAGTGGCTGACACTTTGACAGATTACTAAAAGCCCAGCTAATAGGACTAAAGCACTTGCTCTAAGAAAAGTCGTTTTATCTATATTTAAGCCCAATATATCCTTGGATAACTCAACTGACAAAAGTGCAAACCTATCCAAGGATGGCAGATGAACTGACAGAACCTATAGATGAAAGAAAGCAGGTCAGCCTGATTCACCGCCCCATCAGCACATCCTGGAACGAGTCCAGGCGGTGCCAGCTCAGAAGCACAGAGGAGAGAAGCAGTAATTACAACTGCAGCATCACGTCTCCCAGAAGGAAAAAAAACGAAGGCACCTTTCAGACGTTCACACGTCAAACGTGAGGTGCTTACCTACTACGTGCCACGCACTGTCATGCGTAACTGCTCACCAAGCCCCAGGATGTGCTCCCACCCCACTTGCTTAGGTGGAAAGACCAGTTCTGTGACCCTGCAGACCTGTTCACCAGACTGGTTTGCTATCTGATAGAAGGAGAGAACACGCTACCTGCATGACAGATGTCAGAAAATGCTCCTCCACCAGCCAGGGAGAAGCCTGCTCCCACCTGACCAGCTGGGACTGGCGTCTGTCTCACTGGGTACCAGCCCCAGCCTGCCAAGCTCCCCAGCAGTGTGAAGTCTGCCAGGTCGCTGCCTCTCCTTCAAACCCAGCTCTAAAGTGAGGCCCCATGGGCTGTCTTCCTGAGGAGGAAGGAGGGCTGTGGCAGCTGGAAGGAAGAGAAAGGGGACGGTGGGGCCAAGCCACCTTTATCTGCGGTCTCCATGGTGCAGACGGCACAAAAGAAGGGGCTTAGAGAACACGGCTGAACAGTCCTCATGAAGGTGTCAGGTGGCACCAGCAGGCTCCTGTGCCTTCCCTGTGGCTTCTGCTCTGGGGTGTGCTGGGAGAGTCCTTTGCCCAGCCCCCAACTCCCCTACCTCTCATTGCCTAAGGAGGCTGACCTGCAGGCAGAAGTCAGGCCAGACTGCAGGTGGGAGATGAGGCTACTGCAAGAGTCCAGGCAAGATCGTGCCAGGACAAGAGTTACGGTCTTAAAAGAAAACAGGGAGTACAAGTGGAGATACTTCAAAGGCAGGTTCATTACACAAACTTAGAAAAGAATGATTGTGTGTTTTGTTTTTGTTTTTAGCCCAAATGATTGGGAAATAAGAACGGAGAGGCGGTTTGGAGGGTATGTAGGAGAATTCCACTTCAGACACGTTAAATTTCAGGTGGCAGCAGATGATCCACGTAAAAAACGTCCAGCAGGACGAACACGGATTAAAGACGGAAAGAGGCTGTAGATCAGGTCTTTTTTGTTTGTTTTGTTTTTAAAGACTTGCGGATTCCTCCACTGGCGTCACTTCTTCATTCTGCTACCATGATAACGTGGCACAAACATTGAGGGAGACGGCAGAATGATGAAAGGAGGAGGAAAAAATATCTCAGGAAATACTCTAAAACTGTTTAATAAAATTCAACTCCTGTGCCCAATAACACCAAAACTAGATTAGATATAATACCTAATGCTGGCAAGGGTGCAACAACTGGCATTCCCATACATGCTGGAACAAAGAACCCTTTTGAAAGCAACTTGGCATCGAGAGCCATGAAGTGTTAATATCTTCACCTGTAATATCCCTTCTAGGAAACATTCAAAAGCAAGCAATAGGTATGTGATGAGCAACTGAGGATACTCAGTACATGAAGATGCGTATTATCTATAATGGCGAAAAACCAGAAGCCACTTAAAATCCAACCACAGGGGGAAAATTAAGAGCATTACAGGCTCTTGGTGGAATTATGACACAGGCATTAAAATGTTAGTTATGAAGACAGTGTAGTAACAGGGAAATCTTTTTTTTCCATTTGCCACCATTTTAAATGAAAAAAGAACAGGATATACAATTATCACAATAACTTCTGTGTTAAGAAAGCAGGATTTGGGGTATATCGCTTTGAATGAAAACGAAACAACTGGAAATGTTAAAATCAGTCACGGGGGTGGTACCTTGGCTCCGTCCACACTGATGATCCGGTAGCTGTTCCTTGTGACATCGTAGAAGTAGGAAACGGTGACCGCCTGCTTGCTCGCAGGCACCCAGTTCTTCTTGGTGCTGGGGTCAATCTGGAAGACGTGCGCTCGGGTGGTGAAGATGGGCTGTTCTCTGCAACAGGAGGGTGGGGGCGTGAGAGTTGGCAGAACATGACTTGATGTATAATTTATGATTTCTAGGCCACCTACTGCCCCAAAAGATTTTAAATAGCTTATAGAGAAAGATACATATGCATGAGGACAACTAAAATAAGAAAAGGGAAGAGAGGAGGAAAAAAAGAGACACCAGTGAGTAGTTTCTGCAGCCTACACTCCATTGAGCTGCTAGTACCCTGAGGCTGCAGGGCCACTGGCCTAATGAGCATTTGGCTTAAACGACATCTCCTTGTTGAGGTTTTCTGCATCCTGTCAAGCAAGTGTCCTATTCTCTTTCTGATACCCTGCTGGCATTTTTAGGATTTGGTAACAAATTTATTTGTGGGGATTCTGCAACCATTTTAGGATTTCGCAATACATTTGCAGCTTAATATTAAGTACTTCCCAAAGTTGCAGCATTTTATGAATGATGGAATTATTTTATATCCTTGTAGATATCTCTTTAGTCTACTTCTAGAACCACTTAACAACTTCATCAAGCCTCTAAGTTTTATGTTTCCAACTCGTAAACCTTTTGAGTTTTACGTGGAATTCACCAAACCCATCGCTTGCTACTCTTGCCTCTGTATTGCTGCTTTTTCACTCCACAAGCCCGTAAGATCTTTATGTAATTATCGACCGAATTAGCACATTACCTATGCTTCTTTCTGTTGAGTGGGGAACTAATTAGATTTTGACAATACGCATTAAGAAATAAAACAGATGAATGAAAATTGTAATGATTTCACTGCATTTCGTATTTTAGTGTATTTCCTTCACAAAGTAACACAAAATGAAACACAGACTCGTTACAAAAAATATTTTTAAAGAAAGGGTCCTTAGACAAACTGGCTCAAAAATCCTTTAAGTGTTAGGAAAAAAAGCCAACAGCATGTAAAAAATAGTCCCATTATTCATAAAATGCTACAGATTACTCAGTACTTATTAGAAATACAAAATTAAAAAGGTAACAGACTAATTTTTTAAATCCTTACAATGTCGAAAGAGATGACAAAAAAGAACAGGACACCCAAGTGGATACAAAAATCAAAAGGGAAACGTGAATTTTAAATGTTCTGGTCTCTGGACGGAGTGGTTTTGGGTGACGCAGACTTTGCGTCCATCCCAACTATAGACGACTCATTATGGGAAAGAAAGCCCTTAGGAGAAGAGCAATTTACCATTTGTGCCCAATCAAAGGGATGCTGAGAAACACCACAGATAATCAGCATCGACCACCAGCTGCGGTTTCAGGGAGACGCAGAAACCTCGCTGACTGTCTCTCCGAGGGCCTGCTACTTGGACGCCAGCGTTCCAAAAAAACGGACAGAGACTGGCATCCCCACTCCCTGCAACTTCCCTTCTAGCTCCCCCGGAGCAGGACAAGACCTCTGGGGACATGGATTACCAGGACATTTCTCTTCCCTCAACAGGAACCAAGTTCACCCAATCCTAAAGCAACGCCCTTCCAGCAGCTGGGTGACAGCTGCGGAAACAAAAGGAACGTCCTCACTGTGATTTCCCGCGTCTGCTGTCAGGGGCGGCCCGGCCTGTGGGGAGCGCGTGCGCACGAACGCAAGCCCCGCGACCGGGTCCACCCGAGGCAGCTGCGCCACCGTCAGCCCAGCACCACACTTTGCTAATCATCCACGCATAACGCGGTCAAGGAAAACATGTCCTCTCACAGTGTTCTCTTGCAAATGTAAGAGGAAGGGCAGTAACCACAGAGAATTTTTTGAAGAATCCAATTATGTTAAAATGTCGGCCTGGTGGCTCTGGCAGAGCAGTGAGCAGGGTGGGGGACAGGGGGCAGCAGTGCAGGCTTTCAGACCTTCCCTGTCACTCCCCACACTAAAGAGGGACTGGGTCTGGGTTTTCACACACTTAGACCAGTGTCCCCTCACCCCTGGAGACAGGAATTAGCTGGGGCGCCTACTAAAAACACAAGTTCCTGGGCCCCATCCCAGCCCCCTCAACCTAGCTCTCCAGTGAAGGGGCCCAGTGGGCTCCAGATGAATTTTATCCTTGAAGAAGCTGGGTCGACACTTGAGTTAGACAGCATCAGATGATCTAGAAAAGAAACAGAAGCAGCCCCTACAGCCAGCATTTCTCCTCCAGAATGAGACAGCTGACCGTGAATGACACAGAGTGACTCCAGAAAGTCCTCCCACAGCTCTGGGGGGCCAAGAGTGCGACCAAGGACAGGATTTCTGGATGCAAAGGATGGGGAGAGGGTGTGAAGGGAGGCAGAGGTGCTCTGGTCAGGGAGGAGGGTAGAGACTAGGGCAGCTGGTGGTGGCCCAGCAGTGGCCTTCTGCAAGCACTCTGTATCCCCAAGGCCCACAGGAGTGAGGAAAACAAAGTGGGGAGACAGAGGGGAGAACAGGGAGGCAAGAGGAGACGGCAGGGCTTCCTGACCAGGCGCAAGCAAAGCAGCGGCCGTCCGCTGTGCAGGATGCAGGCCAAGGCACGCACGCAGCAAGGGCTCCATCTCCAAACCTGCCTCCTTAGCTCTGCAGATGGACGAGTCATCACGGGGTGCCCTCGGGACCCCAACCAGAACCGCAAGGATGCTGGGAGAGCACAGTGGCTCAGCTGGCACATTCTCGGTCACCATGGTCAAGCCATCCACAGGGAAGTGGCTGCTCCAGCGTGGGGGTGCGCGCAGAGGCCTGGGAGGGGCACCGCAGGGAGTCCTGCCAGCCCGGTCCTGAGGGTGGTCACCTCCTGAGGCCAAAGACCTGTGTTCCTTAGTCCTGAGGCCCTGGGAAACCCGGGAGGATGTGCACAGCCAGGCTGGCAGCAGCTCTGTGCCCAGGGAACTAACTACCCACAGGACTGGGATTCCCACGTGAATAACTAAGTCTGAGGGCACTGGGGAGTTCCATTTGCTGTTCTTCTAAAATTCAAAAACTCTATGGTATTTCAAGAAAAGGCATATTAAAAACGGGGGGCAGCAAGAATGAAAAGCTTGTAATTGACATTTACTGAGTGCTTACCATTCTGCTAGGCTTGATCTCTCATTTAAGATCACAACTATCCTTTGGGGAAGGTGCCATATAGGTGGGAAACAGGCTCAGAGAGGCCAAGCAACCTGCCTTGGGTCACACAGTATGTGACAGATCTGAGATTTGAAGTCCTTTCTAAGTGACATGGCAACCTTCCCTCTTAACCATTATGTTATAATCTCTTCCTAAAATGACAGCTTTGGATGTGGTTCCCAATAACCTCCACCTTCTAGTGTTCACGCCCTTAGGTAATCCCCTCCCCTTGAGCGTGGGTGGGACCTGTGACTTGCTCTTAACCAACAGAATATGGCAAAGGTGACAGGATGTCATTTGTGTGATTAAGTTCCATAGGACTGTGAATTCTGACTCCTAGGAGATTCTCTTGCTGCTTTGGTGAAACAGGTTGCCACGCTGGGGAGATCCACATTGCAAGGAACTGAGGAAGGACTCTAGCCCCCAGCCAGACAAGAACGGAAGCCTTGCCAGGTGCAGTGGCTCACACCTCTAATCCTAGCACCCTGGGAGGCCAAGGCAGGAGGATTGCCTGAGCTAGGGAGTTTAAGACCAGCCTGAGCAAGAGCGAGACCCCATCTCTACTAAAAACAGAAAAATCAGCCAGGCGTTGTGGTGTGCACCTATAGTCCCAGCTACTTGGGAGGCTGAGGAAGGAGGATCACTTGAGCCCAGAGTTTTGAGGTTGCAGTGAGCTGTGATCATGCCACTGCTCTCATGCCCAGGCAACAAAGTGAGACCCTGTCTCTAAAAAAAAAAAAAGTATCAAAAAAGAGAACTGAGGCCCTTAGTCCAACACTGCTGGAGGAATTGAAATTCTGCCAACAACCACACGGGCTTGGAAGCAGATCTTTCCGCAGTCAAGCCCTCAGATGAGATTCCAGTCCTAGCCAATACCTTGATAAGAGCCTCGTGAGAGATCCAGAAGCAGAGGGCCCAGCCGAGCCATCCCCGACTCCTGACAATCAGAAATGTGTTTTAAGCTGCTGAGTTTGTGGCAGTTTATCACACAGAGATAACACCTCGTCCTTCGCAGACAGCTTACAACTCGCCAAGCGGACTGCATATATTCTCACTTGATCCTCCCAACAGAGCTGAGCATGGGCAGCACTATCCACACGGAAAACTGAGGGGCACAGGATGATTTCAGGCAACGTGGACAAGAAACCTTGATATCTTTATGAGCAAAATCAGAGGACTTTACGAACCTCACCACAAAATTCAGAAAAGCAGACCCTGACTTTGCAAGAGTATGTTGCCTCACCTGAGAAAGTAAAAGAGAGGAACTGACTTCTGTGTCCTAGTTCCAGCTAAGTGTGCAAATCAGTATAAACGGAAAGATTCCAGAGAATCAGAACTTTCCAACACGCATTCCCTTCCCAGCAGGGAAAAGCTGAAGAAAGTGTGTATCGGAGAACAGACACCACCTTCATATCCAATTTTATTCTCCTTTCTTTAGTGTTCAATGCTCAGGGAGTAAATTTCAAATATACTCCCATTCCTTCTTCGGTGCTTTAAATAGAAAGCAGATGTTTCCGGATGGCAAAACACTTCTTTAGGCAGACAATATAACCTACTGTTCCTTGCATAGTCTCTTTAGAGCTGAATAAACACCAATTGCTGTTCATTGAACACATTTTGGAACCTGACAGTAATTGTCTCCAAAAATAACTAGACACTCTATGCAACATATGTATGTTTGGAATATGAAAAACACTCAGCAGAGAGGCCACTCCTGCTTTGAACAATTCTGGCTCCATGTGAAACGATTCTGCAAAGAACTGGCATGAAGACTATTTGCAGAAAAAAAGGGAGAGAGAGAGAGAGAAATTATGTTGTAACTTACAATTTTTTTCACTTGCAATGCTCAGCTCCAGGTTTTTTCTGACATAAACCTGTAAAACCTCATGATTCTTATTTTTCCTGCTTCTATGTGAATTAAAACAAACCATTCAGA